AATGGTGACCTGGCACCCAAGTCTCCCACTCTAGTCTTCTCTCTTGGGCAGAAATGAAAAGCAAGAGGAAAAAATACCATAACAGTGTAGCAGCAATGCCAGAACACAGATAAGGAAGTGAGAGAGTGGTCATGGCTGACATACATGATGGGAATGGAATGAATTAAATGTATTTAATTTTAAAACATTAGATGAGAGCATGTGTCCTTAAGTGCCATAAATCCTTACAGGTAAAACTAAATAATATTCCATTCCTTCTTAAACCAGTGGGCCCCAAATTTTGCTGCACTCTGGAATCACCTGGAAATCTTTACAAACCTGATGCCTGGTTCTCACCCCCAGACATTCTGACTCATTGATTTCTGGGACAACCTGGACATCAGGTGATTTAAAAGCTCTTTAGGAGCTCTATGGAAGTTCTCCAGAACCACACTCTTAACTAGCTCCTTAAACATGATGGAGCATACTCCTTGAATGACATTAGCTAGAATAGGATTGCAAGTAAACTTAAGCTGTTAACATTAACTTTAACTGATTGGTAGTGACTGCATAGATTACTGGTCCCCAAACTTTGCTGTGCGTTAGAATCATACAGAAGACTTGTAAAATCCCCAATGCCCAAGTCACATTTCAAACCAATGATATCAAAATGGAAAGCCAGGCATCTGTAGTTGCATTGGGTGATTGCATTGGGCAGCAAGGTTTGGGAACCATCATGGCTCAGAAGAGGATTTTGTTGAGAAGAATGTTGAGGCTGAGTTCACCAACAAAAGCACCATGATCAATTACGTTCGACAGGGACAAAGGAGAAAAGTCTCAGCAACATGCCACATACTAGTATTTGCCATTCCTGAACTAGAAGTCAGAGTTATTACAAAATAGACCAGTGCCCACTGAAGCAGGAATAGCAACAAACACTATATATTACTTTCTCACACATTATATCATTTAATCAGGTACAGTTTAATAAAATCAGAAAAACAGGGGCAAAAAGAATTAGAAAAGAAAACCTTGAAAATCTGCTTAGCTGAGAAAGTAATTAAGTTATCTGAGCACTGCTTACCCTCAACTCTACCTCCTTGCCCAGCAAGTCATACAAAGATGCTCCTTTGTAGGTGATTTCAGAAGCAAGCTGCCTGGCAGCTTTCAAATCTGCAATCTGGAAGGAAAATATCAAAAACAGGAACCTCAGTGACAGGTTTTTAATAGGCATTCAGAAAAAAACCAGTCTAATACCAATCCCTACCGCCAGTCAGAATACTTGACTACAGAAGACATTTTCCACAGGACATATCCTTACATCCTGTGGAAGAGAGCTTAGAGGATACCAGTTTAGGAAACACTGATCTAAGTACAAATTAGAGCAACTTCAGGTCTCCTTAAAAATCCAAATGTCAAATCAAATGCAATTGACCTGCTTCCTATTTGGATTAGGTCACCACAGGGGATGCCTACAGTAGTGAGTGACAGGGAGGGGCAATCTGAGGGACACATTTCCTAGTGCTGCATCCTGATGCCTTCTGTTAACCCTTTTGTCCCCTCATTCGCTGCCTTTAGACTGCACTTCACATGACTGCTACGAGGTTCAAATGAGTTAACATGCAATAGTACCCAGCTCCCGGTGGCAGCCATTACTATGAAGGTGATGATGATGATGATGATTTAGCATCTAGCCCTGTGCGCAACTTCTTTCTTAGGATTTGCATGTCACCTCTCCTTCCTTGAATATGTTAAATTTTCAGAGTCCAAACAAACATCTCCCTGCTCTGCTCATGCTCCCTCTCCTAAACAACAAATCCCCAGTGTCTCTTTTTTAAAAAAATATATTTTTATTGATTTCAGAGAGGAAGGGAGAGGGAGATAACGAGATAGAAACATCAATGATGAGAGAGAATCATTGATTGGCTGCCTCCTACACTGATCTCCTACTGGGGATAGAACCTGAGCATGTGCCCTTGACTGGAATCGAACCCAGGACCCTCCAGTCAGCAGGCCAACACTCTATTCACTGAGCCAAACCAGCTAGGGCCCTGGTGTCTCTTTTTGATTATCAAACCATCAGCAACAACTCTCAATATTCATTCACAGCTGACTTTCCTCCTATTTCCTTAGTCCTCTAGGAGTCTGTTCCTGCTAGCTCTACTCCTACCTTACTAGCAATATGCTTTCAGTAAATAGTTGAATTAATTTATTATGACTTCTGCTTTTATTCAAATGCTGATGAGTACAAAATTGACAAACTGCCCTCATTCAAGGGATAAGGAAAGAAGTAGTTCTATGAGTATATGACATGTTCCATTTCAGAGTGAGAAATACACATTTCATCCCTCACTACAAGCCGTTCATTGCCTTACCTTTGAGCCAAGATCAAACTTGAATTTGCTGATATCATCCTCTCCTATTTTAGAGCTCTCCATCCCTTTGGTCTTCATAGCATTATAAAGGACAGAGGTGATCTTCAATAGTTCTTTCACTGCATACCCATCTGCTTGATACAGCTTCTTAGTATTGAGTTTTATATGTGCTTTTGTGGCCTATTTTCAGACCAAAACAAACAAACAGTTTAAGGCTTTTTCCAAACAAACAGTTTAAGGCTTTTTCTTTGGTTTAGAATAGAATCTAAACCAAATCTCATGTAGGTAATATGAAAATGTCTCTGCCAACAATTGGGATATGACCTGATTATATTAAGAATCAGACTTTCAAGTGACTCATACATTGCAAGTGGGTGTGTAAACTGATGCAACCTTTTCTTTTCTTTTTTTTTTTTTTAACTGATCTAATCTTGATGAAGAGCAATTTGGTAAGAGACAACACAATTACAAATACACGTATCTTTTGACCTAGCAATTCCAATCCTGAGAATTTATCTTAGAGATGGATATAGTAACAAAGGAAATGAGATGCATATAGGTTATCTGTTACAGCATTGCTTCAAAGAGCAAAGGTTATATACACCTAAATGCCTATCCATATAAATTATATAAATTGTGATTTATCCAGGCAAGCAATACTATTCGGGTGTTAAGAGAGAATAAGAAGTTCTATATGTGTTTGGAAAGTTCTCCAAAACTTGCTTCTTAACTGAAGAAGCAAGTTTCTAAACAGTATGCCACCATTTGTGCAAAAAGAAGGAAAATAATTTATATCCTATTCGCTTACATATACATAAACTCTGGAAAATATTAATAGTGGTTACTGGGAATGGAGCTGGGCAGAAGGCAGACAGGATAGAGGATAAGAAGCCATTTTACTCTATCATTTCATAATCTACAAAAAATCTTTTTCTGAACCATGAAATATTATAACCTATTCAAAAATAAATTAAAATCTTAACAAATACTGAATTAAAACTAAATACTTTGCTGTAAAAATGGCTCTAAAGAAGCCTGGTAATCGAATAGGTTTAGAAACTTGAAAGAAGCCCTACCTAGGACTTCTCTCTTTCTAACATATTTAATTTTACAACTCCATCAAATAAGCAGGAACTAACCATGAACTGGGCAACTGCCTTAATAAAGAAAACTCGGTCTTGTTCCGTCTCAACATCAGAAAGTATGTCAGTCTGAGGTTCATACCTATGAGAGAAAGCCAGGCAGACACAGAGAGAAGACATCAGTTAATTACTATAAAGTCCACAAGAGAGAAAGGGGGCAACTGAGAGGTCAGTGGATCTGTAACGGGAAGCTCTTTGAGTCCCCTGCGAAGTCAGTAAGATTCAGAAAGACTTCAAAAGCAACACAAAATACCAAACATCCAAGGGAGCAAATCCTCACCCCAAGAATAGGTTTAACTAATTTCAAAAATCACATTTGGGGTTCGGCTTACAAAATTAAGTTTCTCAGACCTCAAAGTTTAATTAAAATAATCAGAATGATACTTGGGCTGACAGCCCTTGACCCAGAGCTAACTAGTTAGCTCTGAGAAGCAGCAGAGTTGTTGGAGTTACTTTCTTCATGTTAGTAATGACCCCCCAGGAGTCAACAAACTGCAGCCCTTAGTGTCTTTCTGTACAGCTTGCCAGTAAGAAGGGTTTTTACATTTTTCAAGGATTATAAAAAACAAAACACAAGGTAGAATATGTAAGAGAGATCTTGTGTTGCCTGCAACACCTAAGGTCTTTGCTATCTTTTTTTCTCTTCTCTTCTCTTCTCTTCTCTCCTTTTCTATCTTCTTAACAAAAAGTTTGCCAACCGCAAATGTCAGATACTGGGTTTTACACACAAATTGAAATTACTAATCCAGTGTATTCATTAAGAGTGTGTAGGGAGGTACTTGTCACTCCCTGATGAAGGTGAGGGAATGGAGAAGAATTTGGACCCCATTGTCTGCTTCCTACTGAGAAATAGTCTCCCTTTTCCACTCACTGGTATATTTCGATTCCCACAACACTCTTTAAAACTCAACTGATTTTTAACAGGTTACACCTAAATCTGTCAAACTCAAATTTTATTGAACTCTTCCTTTAGCTTCATAACAATAACCTGTTTCTAGGTGGCTAATAAATAAAATTGAGTATTCGTTCTTAGACTGCAATAAAGTGCAATTCTAACCTTTTCACAAGCCAGAGAAGAACTTCAGATACAAGTCCAAAATTTGGTGTGCGGAAATTTTCCATAGAAATATGTCGAGGGTATCCCAAGGCTCTCATCATCTCTGTAAAATCTGTCCACGGTAAAATACAATTCAGTCAACTCATTGTCAAACAACAACTAATTAACGTACTTTTTCTGCCTTCCCTCCTTATTCCCAGTCTATTGACAGTTATAGGGACTATTTATCAACTAAGAGGGAATTTAAAAAGTAGTTAAAACTTAAAATAATCTGCTTCCTGAAAAACTGTTAAAGTGCCCTGGGAGAAGTGGAAGCTGTACATTAAAATGGGGTTTAGAGATTGGTTGTGAATTTAATTTCTCTTTGATCTCTCTCTCTCTTGAACATCTTCTTACCACTAAAAATGAGAAATACCTGGTCTTATAAAATGTCATAAATAAAAATATTTTAAAATGTTAACAGTAATATTATGGGAGTGGTGACGGTGGTAGGGTAAAGTTCATGTTTCTGAGGTTTTTTTTAGTTTTTTTTTTTTTTTTAGTGAGCACATAGGAACTTACTAACATAAATTTTAAAGATTAGTTGCACTGTAACTAGGAAAAATCTTAAATAGTTGAACTATAGAGCACTATTTAGATTTATTATAAAACAGATTTAAAAACAGTAATACTAACACTTTTTGATACTGGAGGTGGCTGTCACTAAGCTTTAGGCAGAACTTGGAAATGAACACAATCAACATGTTTTGCGTTCCAACAATATGCCAAGATCTATATTCAGTGTGCTCAAGGTTATTTATGTCTGTCCTCGCTCTTCTTGAAGGTAATGTTCAAAATGTCTCAATAACAGTCGCCAAGAAGCTACCCAGGCATCAGCGGTGAGGCTGGATTTCACCAGATCGCAAAAGAGAAGGCATGAGCAGAGAAAAGGGCAGCGGCACTGAGGGCCTCTGTCACTGTTTTTTGGGAAATCTGAACAGAGGGATGGAAAATAAAGCAGCAGTCTTCCCGTCACACAGTCAGGCATTGCCTCAATACTTCTTCCCACTAAGCAGCAGTTAAGTTCTGTTCATTATACAGCATTTTCCAAAATGGATAAGATTCTTACCATATATTGCACAATTGTATAGCATTCATTTAATGTCAAAATGTTCAGAAACCCCCTTCTTGTACACTCTTCCCAATACAACTCCATTCAGTGTCCCCTAGCAGAGAGCTCTCTCTAAACTACCAGGAAAGAGAAACTTGTCCCCACAACATACAGTCACCAAGGACCTTCAAATCCCAGAGGGAATAATTCACGCTATGGTGCTAGTAGGTGTATTAACAAAAGGTGATGATGCCTCTTCCTGTATATTTACATTGTAGAAAAAGAGCAACTCATAACTGAAAGGAGTCATCTTTATTGGTGAAATTCCGGGTACCAGCAATTTACTTCGAAAACTGGCCTTACAGATCACACCACACTGGCAATGCCCTGTTACATCTATGAAAGTGGAGCCAGTTAGCTGAACTGCTTCTGATTCAGAAAATGACACTCTAAAAGGCAAGAGTTTTTTTTTTTTAATCTTCACTTGAGAATATTCTTTACTGGTTTTAGAGAGAGAGGAAAAGAGAGGTAGAGAGAAAAACATGGATTGGCTGCCTCCCGTACACACCTCAACCGGGGTCGAACCCACAAACTAGGTATGTGCCCCGATCTGGAATCGAACCCACAACCCTTCGGTGCACCGGACGATGCTTCAACCACCTGAGCCACCCTGCCAGGGCAAAAGGCAAAAGATTTTGATTCACACAGCACTGTGTCCTCATCCTTGGTTCCACCCAGTTCTGGTTGTGTGGCCTAAAGAAAGATACTTTACCTACCTGTGCCTCAAATCCAGGTATTATACCACCTACCTCACTGTTGAAGTGAGGGCTAAAATAAGAGAGTGAATGTAAAATATAATAGGCGTCCCCCCGAAGGAGCAGTAACTAATTCTCATACCCATTCTTCCACGTCCCCAGCCTCCTAGCAAAGGCATCTGGGTTCCGTTTCCCTCATCAGCCCCTTTAGAAAGTATGAAGGCTTTGGAGGTTAGACATCCTGAATTAAAACTCCAGCGCCAACTCTTACCACCTGGGTGAGTCCTCTCTGTGCCCGTTTCCTTATTTCTAAATACAGAAGCGTGTTTAGAAGAGTAAATAAAATGATGCGCGCGCACACACACACACACACAGAACATTTACCACCTGGAAGATTGTAAAGATTTAAAAAAATGACAGCCGCAATTTCAGCTGTC